GGCAGCACAGGGAAGGAAGAACAACAGTAGAAATAAAAAGTCTGAAAAACCTTTGGAAAAGACAATAGCCAAAGATTGAAATACAGAGGGAAAAGCAGGTTTTAATAATACCATTGTTAGAAAAAACTGCAGAAAGACTTGTCACGTTGCAATTTATCCTAGTCTTGTCAATCACCATTGTTTCCAGTGCTCAAAATCCATGCTCAAAAATGAAGCACGTATGAGAAATTTTTACATAGAAGTTGTAGAATATTGTCACTAACCCACCCCCACACACCCATTTTATTTAACACTGACAAAAGCTGAGATGAATGAGTTGTTGTCAGGCCCTTCCCACTTTGTATAGTCATTGGCTGGCTTGGTTCTAAAAAGGATTTAAAAAAGGGGAATAATGTGCCTTTGCCTGGGATCTGAGACTGTCAGGGTGCTGAAAAGCTGATCTGTGAGCTACCACCATGCAGATCTCTTGGGTTATGTGCTCTGTATATGTCTTAATACAAATTGCATTTCGATCTGTGGAAGGGTGGCAGATGTTTAAAAATGATGCAACAGAAATAATTCCTGAGATCACTGAAAATACAGAAACACCGATGGAGCAGACTTTCAGCAACAACACAATGAACCAGGCAAAGCATGGAGGAAGACACATACAACAAGCTCCAGACCCTAACGGTAAGAAATATAACATCATCCTTACTGGTTTGGACCCTAGTAGACAGTTTGTAAAAGAATACCTGTTATCATACATGCTTATTTATTAAAACCTTTAGGTGTGGACCTAATGCTGTAAGTGATAGGGAGTTATACCTACTGTTGAAGAGGTATCAGTGTAAACATTAGGAGGGATATACCAGAGTTTACTAATGAAAAATGTGGTCTATCTATTGAGTAATCCTTAGGTACTACAGTATGCATTCCTATTCCGCCTAGCTTTTTCTCTTCACACAGGACTCCAATACATAAAACCTGTAAGAAGATACTACTTAAATTTCTCTGTATTTTGTGCACTGTGAGGAAATATCACAAGTCATCTTTCTCTGATGTTAGGATCGGCCAATGGGTTGATGGTGGAGCTAGCAATGTAAACTCTTAATATTTAGAGTCACACAAGTGATGTCTAAGCTCACACAGCAAAAATGGCAACATGGAGGTTGCATCAGCTAGATAAGAGAAGACTGCTGCTCACTGTCCTTTGCCAACAGCCAAATTTCAACCAGATTCCGGCAGCCCAAAAAGCTGTTATGGACAGTTAAAGCACTCCCAAGTCCAAATGAACTGGAGGGAACTTTATTTTGCAGAGGTGTGCACTCTTAGAATCAGTTTGGCTACTTTAACAGCACTGACATACTTCACAACATGTTGTCGCTGCATTTGGCCAAATGGCTAATGTTAGCAATGATGCAAAACACAAGCTTTGTGAGGAGAGATGGAAGATGGGAATTTAGCACCGTTCTAATGGTAAATAGGGCAAACCTGGTCCTCCAGACTGACACATTTGGCTACCAAATGCACATAGCATCAAGTCTGACTTACGGTTTCCACTACTGTGCACTGCAGATCTAAGCTAGCCTTCTTTTCCTGGGGACAACTGGAAGGGAATTGTGTTTTTCTGCTGCTGCAGCTGTCAGTTAAGGTGTTTAAAACCATAGCATTGGGGGGGGGTTTAAATGAAGTAATGTTTTTGAGAGTGTGACTTTATAAGGGTCTTAAATCCCTATAGGGGTAAGCACTCTGATTGTCACAGGCAGCCCCACCATCCACCAGATCAAGGCAGGTTGGTTTTGTTGTTACATCTGAATACCCTCAATTTTTAGCCACTTACTACTGTGATATCAACGGCGGGGGGGGGGGGAAATCTATCCCACTGATAAGTGTATTATTTTTTGAAGTGGAAAGGACAAAGGACATTTGCTTAAGAGAGTGGAGGAGACTGGAGTAATTCAAAGTACTCAATGGTCTTGCATACTTACGTTAACATTTTTAACACAAGGATTCATGATGATGATCCAAGGTGGCCAGACCTTCCTAGGACACATGATGTTGCACTAGACCATGGATCATTTTGCAGTATGTAGAACCTGCACACATACAGGAAGTATATGCACAGAAAATAAACC